AGAATGCAACCAAGATCACATGTGAAAAAAAAAAAAAAACATGGGAACTATTTAACTCTGTGGAAAAATGTTCTAGAAGCTCTGATGAGTTCCTTGACTGTAAAATTGAATCAGGATTACATATAGCTCTGTCCATTCAGGCTCTTTACAGTAATAAAAGTCAGATATTTGGCCAATCACCAATTTAATAAAGCAGTTCAAGCACCAAAGTACCATGGTAGCATAGTGTTCACAGAAAAGCCAAATGTACTTTTTAAAAGTTACTTTTTATTTTAATTTTGGAAGTTCTGATAATGTCCGTAGAATAAAGTCTGTCTTCTTAGCAATCATTGTACAGGTAAATATGCAACCACAAGTAAGTGCTACAACCTTGTATAAGTCTTAAATAGTTCAAGCTCATGCATATTTTTACTCTATAAAAATTTATTGGTTGTCTAAAGTATTATAATTGGAGCAATCTGTGGTAAGAAAAATATACTGGCAGGCCAGTTATTAATGGGGGTGAATATTGGAAAGATTCTTGCCTCTTACAATCAAAATGGTGATAATTTATGCTTGCTCTCTTAAAGCTGGGTCTCCAAAGTGTGAAGGTTAAATTCTGTGCATATCCACATTTTTGCTTACATGTAATTATTATCGGTATAAGTGTAATATGAAAATTGATGACTGGATCACTGTGTAGGAAATTGCTCTCTGTTTCCTCACATCCTAAATGACCTCTGTAAAATGGTTAATATTAGCTATGCATAGGCATACAAACATATCATTTTCATCAATAGAAATGTGCAAAATATTAATTTTTATAGAGATCCACATTTCACAGGAGTAGCTTTCATATGTTTTCATAAGCAGCACAGAAAGCTGCTTCAATATTAAACTATATGTTTAGAACAGAATGCAAAACAAATAACCAAACTATCAGCCTCCACTTCCCAAATTCATCCAACAGCTGTTGCACAAGCAGTGTTTCTATTGATATTCACAGAAAATTGTCTAAGTGATACACACATTTAGACTTTGTGATTGAACAAATAATCATGTTACTTTTTAGCAATGCCATGGAGAGACTAAAAATTAATATGTGATGTGTAGCTAATAGCTGTCTGTAACTCCAGTCCCAGGGGATCCTACAGCCTCTTCTGACTTCCGTGGGCATTGCACTACACTTGCCGGTAGGTAAGTGCACCTATTTTGCAATGCCCACAGAGGTCAGAAGAGGCTGTCAGATCCCCTGGGAATGGATTTACAACAGTTGTTAGCTGCCATATCGGTGCTGGGATTTGAACCCGGGATTCTGGAAGAACAGCCAGTGTTCTTAATCACTGAACCATCTCTCCAGCCCCATAAATAAAATATTTTTTTAAAAAAAGATGTGATGTGTAAATAAGTGCACATATTGAAAGGACTGACACTTTTTGTTCTTGTTCCTTAGAAATTGGTGATACTCTGAATCTAGGCTTACATCTAGAATTCACCAAAACAACTCAGTTTATTATGTTGTGAACAGTTTAGCTGTGTAGGTCCTAATGCTATGAATGACAACATAAACGTCTCTCACCAAAATCAGTACCACCAGAACTCCTATTACCAGTGCACATGGTATACTATCCACACGTTATATTAGACAAGTTTGACTGCAGGAGTAGTTGTTTTTAATACAACAACTTGTGTGGAAAAGCACATGACATAATGAGCAGAATGAATTTTCTTCCTGACACAATCTCTGCCCCCTACAAATCTCTTCCTTGATATGATGGAGACAAGTCTTTTTAAATTAGCACATCAACAACGCTTGATGAGAACCCTTTAAACTTCACAGTCATTTCATATTAAATAATGATATTGTTGCTGGTCAAGACCAATGTAAGACTACGGTGACCTAGTGAGGTAGTGCCCAAGAACACAAAGCAAGTGGCCCTGGAATCAAAAACATGCACAGATCTGTTTTTTCTTAGGCCTAAACAAATTTTCTAATATATTTCCATGCCTTAAATGAAATAAACATTAATTTTTGTGATCACAGGTACGCACATGCAGGATAACTGATGAAGCGTTCTGTCTGTCTCTTTTTATCTAAGTAGTAGCCTGTGATGTAGTTGGTATTGGAGCTTTAGTGAGAGTTATTTCTCTTTAACTGCCATGAGGTCATTACTTCACATGAGAAATTAGATTTTTTTCAAATAGAATATGTAGAAATTTGTTGTGATAAATCTTTATTATTTTTATTTCATGTATATGATTGTTTTGCCTGCATGTATGTGAGTGCACACCCATGTTATACAAAGCCTTCAGAGGCTAGAAGAAGGCATCGTATCCCCTGTAACTAGAGTCGTGGACAGTTGTTTGCTACCATGTGGGTGCTGGGTTAGGGTTAGCCCCTGTTGTAATAATTCTTAAAACACCTTTCACCATGTTTCTAATTTCTTCTAACCCACAGAAAAAAAAAATACTGATTTTTTTTATCACTAATGTTATTCAATTTGTGTATGATATTACTTACACTCAGAGTTTTTGACATTTACAATGCTGGTCTATTTGTTTTATTTCAGAGATGGTGAATTGTGTTTGAGTCGATCACTTGTCAATAGCTCTGATAAAATCATTCGGAAGGCTGGCTCGACTATCTTCCAGCATTCTGTAGAAGGTTGGAAAATCAATTCTTCCTTGGTCTTGGAGATAAGGTAAGCTTCTTTAATAAGTACAATAAATTTCACATCATTTTCTCAAATACGTTGGGCTTGGCAAACTTATATTGAACACTTGATTTATAGTTTAAATATGAATGTTTAATGAAAAAGTGAATCAGCTTTACTTGATGTTCCTCATGGAAGAATGTGGAACCAATAAAAATGAAATCATTACATAGTAAAAAATTCAAGGATGAAGGAATTTTGATTATGTGAATAGATAAAAAATTGAGCTGAGTACTATTATTTAAGTATTTTTACTTCATTACTCAGACTGAACATGTATTGAGGGAATAGCCCTTTTTTTTCCCTACTGAGACTTCATTCTGATTGTAATTTAGCTCCATTTACTAGAGAATCCTCAATTCGTAATGTGTTGAAAATTAGAAATACATTTGACATATTCAGTGAGTATACCTATGGAAGATGATGTGAAAAAATGAGGAAAATTAGCAAATAATCTTTCTATATGTCTGTCTTATTCTTTACAAGTCAGAAATTTCAATTTTAAGTTAGAAATAACTATTGAAATTAAACTTAATAACCCTATGTATCCATTACAACATTGTTTTCTATTCCAGTCCTCAGATTAATAAAAGACTAGAATAGACTTTCCTAATTATGAAGGAAGTAAATTTACTAGTTCTCTCTATAGTTTCATTATATCATTGTCTTGATTGATATATTTGATAAATTACTGCATTTCAGGAAATCAGAGCTCTAGAAAATTGAGGGAACAGACTCCTTATAGATAAAATCACTACATTTTTTCTAAGATTTGAAAAATGCTGATTATACATTGGTGAGATATGGACTTAGTTTTGTAGTATATGACTGATTAAAAGTAAGGGTCTGATCTGTTTGTGAGTTTTGCTAGGTTCTTTTTAAAAATATTTTATTTATTATTTTTATTTTATGTGTATGCATATATTGCCTGCGTGTAGGTAAGTGCACTTGTGTCATGCAATGCCCATGGAAGAGAGAACAGGCTGTCAGATCCCCTGGAACTGGAGTTATGGACAGTTGTCAGCTTCCATGTGGGTGCTGGGATTCAAACCCAGGTCTTTTGCAAGAACAACCAGTGTTCTTAACCCCTGACCCATCTCTCCAGCCCCTTTTCTAGGTTCTTGATTCATGCAGACAGTAACTAAAGGAAGCATCTGTTATACTCATTTAGAGATTATATAATAACTCATAGTAAGAATTTTAGCAAAGACTATACATTTGAAATTTACCTAAAGGAATATCCTCGGGGGGCGGTGGAATCAGTGTCAGAGGAATGTAGGATTGAGTCTGACTCCCTACTTTTTTTGTCAAATTTGTAAAGTGATTTAAAAGTGAATAAAGCAGGAATCAACTGATCCCTGGTGTGATGTGATAAAAGTTTTGGTATTTTTACTTTAGGAAGAGCTTTGCATATTTGTAGGCATATTAAAACAATGCAGAAATATGTAAGGTCTAAATATTTCATAATTTTGGCATGAATAGAGCCTTCTAATAAGATTTATTTCAATTGGTTGGTGGAAAAAATTAAAATCAAGAATAAAAACCAGGTGATTCCTTTGAACCTGAAAATTTTCAAAAATGTTTAAGAAAATGAAAAACGCAATGACTCAACCTGTATTCTTTCTAAAAGCTGTTTGCTTGAAACTGAATATTTATGAAGTTTGACATTTTTACACCCAGGCTCTCTCATCATAGCTAGACAGTATCTTCCTCTGTCTTCCTTTTCCAGCACTTCATTTTAATCTAAGTTAAGGCAGCAATGACATAATCATGTAGAATGAGGAGGTGTAGGATCATGACCTCAGATATATTTAAGTATAATTAATTTAATATTTGTTTAGATTAATTTAAGTATTTGTTTCTTAGAAGTTGATTGCAAAAAGTATGGCTGATTGAAAAGGAAGGAAGTGATCTACAATCATGTCTACAAAGGTAGAAGAATCAATTAGGTGAGGCTACAATGATCAGTTGAAAAGAAAGTAGGAGCTGAAATAAAAAGAAATTCCAATAGTTTAATTAGAATGTACAGACATACTTAATAATGTCAGATATGTGAAAATATAAAACTGCATTAAATAATTTAATATATAATCTTAAATAATATGACAGACCATGTGCTCCTAGTACTTGTCCAAAAATTATTTCTTTGTACATTCTTGAGAATGCAAATCTATATTTTATTTTCACTAAATATTCAACCTAATATATTCAGCATAAAGTTATTAAGCATAAACTTACCCAAGTGATTCATCTCTTAGAATTTTACAAACTAATGAACGTTGTCATATTTTTGAAGGTGTTCTTTTTCAGTTATAATGGCTTTTATTATGAATGAAATGCTAGTACTAGCTATGTTTATATGGCTCGTCCTAAAAAAGACTTAAACAATAGAACATTGAGCAAATATTGAATAATACATACTAAATTGTCACTTTCAAGAAAAGAACAGTTTGTAAATTCACGATTATGCAATGTGCAAACAATTCATAAAAATTAAAATTACCTCTAGTAGCAATGACTGATGAGTTTTAATCAGTTTGATACCAGTAAAAAAAAAAAAATAACTTAGGACATAAAAATATCTGACTGTTGCTTTGAGTTTTATGATTATGTTTTAAAAAATCCTACTGGCAAACAACCATGAAGTATGTTTTTGTTTTTTGTTTTTTGTTTTTTTTTTTATCTTCTCGCTCACCTCTGATACATTTCAAAAGAAACTAAGCATGGTCTGTGAGGGGTTGTTTGTATGTTGTACAGTTTTTCTCAAAATTCTGTGAATATTTTGATTGAGACATTGCATGTAATTTTCTATTATTAACTCCTTAGCCCTATTGGTCTGCTAGTATTTTCAGAAGCACATCAAGTGTTGGATTATTAAACAGTTGTGCTTTGGAGAATCATTAAAGGAGATTTTAGTTCATTGTACCTTGAAGAGTTGTCGAAATTTCATAAGTTACATTTTACCTCTGACTTCATAATCAAAATGATTATTTTGGTTTAACTTCTTGATTTTATAGGGTTTATTATTATTTTTCTCTTTTTCACTTTTTGCTGGGTTGTCCTGTAGGTCTAGCTGTTCTGGAACTCCCTATGTAGACCAGCCTGGCCTCAATCTCAAAGAGCACTGTCTGCCTCTGCCTCCCCAGTGCTGGGAATAAATGCATGCACCCCCTTGTCCTGCCAAGATTTAGTTTTATTGATAATAGTTTATTTATTTTTCTGTTAAGAAAGGGCACATTTAAGTTTCATTACTAGTGATTACCTCTGTGAACACTATACAGAATTATATCCCACTTGTAATTGATATGTTTTCCATATTTTGGTTCTTTATTTTCTTAGTTTTCGTGTGTTGCATATAACTCTAAGAAGTACAGATATGGGTATATAGCAATATAGAACATCTGACTCAGATGTTCTCCATAGTGGCCTAGTTAATAATTAGTCATCAAAAGACTTTAATTTTTTAAAATTTTTTATCATATGTATGCTACATATTGGTCTTTAAATAGATACGAATTTTGGTTAATGAAACATAATTGCAAATTTATGTGTTTAGTTGTCAAAATGAACTTGTTATTTGTTATAGATTTCTTTAAGGAAAAAAAGAAAAATCCCACAAACAATTCTTACAGCATTTTCTACTTACTGTGATTAATAAGTGACCAGTGTGAAGGTAATTTAGTGAAATAGTCAACATTCATATTCACAGTCCATTTTAAGGAACTAATTGCAAATGATTATTTGTTAGTTCTAAAAATGAAAATAAGTGGTTTTTTATGGATTATATAGCATTTTTCTTTGTTTTAAAATAAGAAAACATATGTTAGCACTCAAAGTATAAATGAAACTGAAAACAAATGTTCTTATGATATTTGGGACATTTTTAGCTTCCATTTGATGTGAATCTTTAGGATTTTGTTGTTGTTGTCTTTTTGAGACAGGATCTCTCTGTAGACCCAGGCTGTTCTCAGACGCATAGAGGTCTGCTTGCCTCTGCCTCCCAGGTGCTGGGATTAATTGTGCCACCACGCCAGCTACGATTTTTCTTTTGGTACTAGAATATTTTTCCTGTCTTTGGAACAACAACAGCAACAACATCAAAAAAGAAAAATAAAAAAGAAAAAGCGTATGTTTTTCTTTGTATTTTGTAGGCAAAATAAAGCAGTCAGCTTTTTAAAACTTTTTCCTTTTAGAGAACTGTGTTTGTTACCAATTGAATTTATGACATTCATTTTGCTTAAATCAAGTTTGCAAAAACAGATTCACCATCTTCTATTTATTATAATCAATTCACATTGTTATATATATGTATATATAGAGAAATATATAGAATTATACCTAATTTAATTTTCAACATGGAATATATTATAGCTGTAAGATTTATTACCCAATGATTTCTAATGGAGTTAATGCATTTCAACTGAATCCCCATTGCTACAACACATTGTTTACAAGAAGTGTACAGGGAAGAAAGTGGCATCTGGTGATGGGTTAGCTATATTTAACATTTCACAGACGAAAACCATGTAAATTAGGTCTCTGATACTCTACAGCTGCTATTGCAATTCATTGGTGATATTGAAAGGGAAGTTCTGGTTAAAGATTCAGTTGAGAAGTTTCTGTAGAGAATCTTTCCTGTCAGTTTAACAGTATTTACAACCTTACAGTTTAAGCCAATGTGTCTAGCAAAAATACCTTTTGTGGCTAAGATTTTCAGTCTCACTGAAAGTGAAATATGTTTTCAAAGCTTTTCAGTTAGTTTCAGCTATCATTAATGTTAAATCAGTTGCTGAACATAGGTGTTTGCTTAACTAAATAAGCTTCAAAATTTGAATTAGAATCACCAAATGATAAAGAATAATAATCTTTTGTCTTTGTTCTTTTATTTCACACAGTGAAAATGCAATCCCTCACTTTAACTGCTCTTAACTTGATCACATATTAAGAAATTTGGACTGATTCAGTATGTATATTAAACATTAGCATTTTGTTGATTTGTGTTTCTGTAGAGCCCAGAAGTTAAGATGTTTTCCTAATTTCTGAAGCAATTTTGCTTACTCTGTTGAAATTCATATTATGTTCTAAAGTTCATATTATGTTCTTCCTGTTGAAACACAGTGTTTCAATTTAGTTAAAGCAAAAATGTTTTTCATGTTTCAATGACATTCAACTAATTATATATAAGTATCAGTTTTCTGTTTTTCCTTTCCCATAATATATTTACAGTCTAAATGGCAGCTGTACTTGGGCAACCCATGGAACTTTTTCTGTTACATTACAACTGTAATCTAACTAAATGGTTCTAGCATTCTAGAGTGAGAAGTGGACTGTTCTTTAGTTTTCCAAGAAGTTTGAGCTTCAATTAAGTCACAATACTATTCATACATAATAATTATTTTCATTCTTTTAATGCACTGACACTAAGAATCTGATCTCAGATAATTTTCTATGCATAGTTTTCAGCCCTAAAATAGAAACTAAATGTTTGGTTAAATATAATAAAAAGAACATAGTAGAATCCTACAAGGTCTGTTCTTTTTAGTTTTCAGTCTTAAAAAAGCAAATTCTACTTCAAATATGTTTTCAATTTTATCTAAACAACTTCATAGTTTTAATTTTCATTAGCCTATAAAAGTTTTTTTGTTGATTTAAAATATATTTTTTTTGTATTCCTGGTCCTCCACTGCACGAGGGAGCATCATTATAGAGAACTGAGAAATTCATTAGTGTCCTCGTCTTTACCCCTGCTCTATTGTACATGAATCTCAGCTGTAGAGGTTACATTATAGATGTGTCACTTGGGCCTGGACAATTCATAGACAATGTCCCTGTGTGACAAGTTTTGGTACTTGATAATAGTCTCTGACTGGTGCAAAATGAGTTCATTTGATGAGTGGTGACTGGGATATTTGTCTGAAAATATAAAGGATACATATTTTGTACATAAGAAGAAATCACATTAGTTTAGTGATGTGATAGTCTTGGGGTTTTCTCTAAGATCTATGGCCACTCCAGCCATGTGTATTAGAGAACATAAAAGGTCACAAATGGCCAAAGTATAGAGATCAAGAGTCTGCTGAATGATGGTCCTTGGACCAGACCCCTTTAAGCTTCACCCACTCAAGTCTCAGGGACCATCACAGAAGGGGCAGAAAGATTGTAAAAGCCAGGGAGGAGGTACCTGACCCTATGGAACCAGAGTTCTACAAGATCCTGGGAAACTGCTCATATGATTCTATGGCAATGGTGTCAGCATACACAAGTCCCTTGCAAACTCAGGCAGACTATAACCCAGCATAGAACTGAGAAAATGAACAGCAGACCTCAATCTTATCTGTTGGCAACTGATTGCTGCTATATGAGGAAGAGCTCATCTTCCTAAAATAAGGGACTCTAGATAGGCTGACTAGACTCAGTGAATGGACTTGCACTGGGGAATGGCTGGGGACACTGAAAACCCAGTGGACCTTAACAGGGATGACAGAGTATATGGGGTCAAGAGAGGGCCAGAGAAACTATGGAAGAGTGCCTGTGGCGATAGGGGTATAAGGATGATTATTTTGAGATGTTCTTATGAAATACACAAAAATTTAAATAAAAAGATTATTTTTTTACCCCGCTAGATAAAAATAAATTACTGCTGAACCTATAATACAGCATTAGAGCAAAACATAATGTTAGCATTTGCACTTAGTAACTATCTCACTGAGTACTTTTATCTTTCCAAAGTTAGGCAACTTATGTGTTTTAAAGCTTTATATAAAAATTTAAGTCTCTTGTTCTAAAAGTTTTCCCTATGAATAATTAAATTACAAATGTTCACCTTGCTTGAAGCTTAAGAAGTCAAGTTTTGAAGTCTTTTTGCCTTTAACTTTCTGTTAACCTGGAAAGGGCATTATTATTGGAAAGTCCCTCTTATTAGTTGACATTCATGTAACTGCTAACATTTGACAGTTTAAAATGGAGTTTCCCTTTTGGACCTGCAACTCGAATCTTTTCATCTCAAGCTGGTAAACATGCCGCTGCTTTGAGCATACATCTTTAAATGCATCCATAGCAACACATTTGAATTATGTTCAAAGGGAAATGGTAACCTTATCTAGTTTGATTATTTCACCACATCCGTGTAGTCTTAATTTTGAGCTAACTTTGTCATTTTCACAGGAAATGAAAAGTTTTTGTTGAAGTACAGGTGTCAAGCTCTCGTGTACCACCAAACAAATAAACGGTGCTTAATAAGTTTGAACTAAAGATTACATGAGGTGCTATTTTTGGTGATAGATATTACCTTTTGTGAAGAATAGCTAGGTTCTTGCAATGTTTGGTTCTCAGAAATGAGATTTTCCCAGTAACATGTATCATAAACAGTAATAAATCAAGAGGATAAATATGTCTTTGCTATCTTGAATATTGCATCTAGGCCATTGATTTTTATCACTTTGAAAAAGCAATACTATATTAAGAGCATGTTGGTAAATAATGTCTAGTTTCTAATATGTGCCTAGAGTTTTCTCAGATTGCTTCCTGCTTCTATAATTTTGGCAGACTTAGTATTAAACAGTGGTGAACTTTTGTAGCCCAAATCCCTAAGTTTTTGTCAATATAATTCCTCAAAAAGTTCAGTTAATTCCCAAAATTTCTTGTTAACACAGTCTTCTTTCTATTCTTTAAAAATTATTCTAATTCATCCCTATATTCTATCAGTTTATTTATAGCTACCTTTATGCCATTTGAATCTATAGATGTACATGAAAGCATAACATAGTCTCTTTTATTTGGACAGGCATGATTTACAGCTACATTTCTTTTTTTTAATACTCTATTATTTTTATTTTCGGTGTATGATTGTATTGCCTGTATGTGTATAAGTACAGCCATGTGGTGCAATGTCCATGGAGGGCAGAAGAAGGTGTCAGATCCCCTGGAACTGGAGTTACAGACAGTTGTTAGCCACCATGTCAGTGCTAGAAATCGAACCCTGATCCTCTGTAAGAGCCATCAGTGCTCTTAACTGTTAAGCTCTCTCTCCAGCCCCTACAGTTACATTTCTTACCAACTGGGATAAAAAGACATTGTGAGGTGTAAAGTACTAGGCCCTCACGTGTTTGAGATAAGAGATCCTTAGCCAGAGATAGATGTCTTCCTTTCACTGCTTCCCACATGGCTATTTCATGCCTTCTTTGTCCTCATTTCATGCCTTGCTAAAATAATCAACTTTTACACTAGTTTTCTAGAGCAATATATTTAGTAAGAACAAAGTACAGCTTCCAAATTATGAAAGATAAATAGCTTTTTCAGGGGTATATCACTTAAGTCATATTGCACCAATTTTCCAGACAGCTTTATCTGTTTCCTCATTTTCTGTCATCTCTTGAGAATATGAATATAATTGCATAGCATCTCATATCTGTGATCCTCTTAGACTATAGATACTGGATAGTCTAAGTTACTTAAAAATAAAAATATGCAGTGGTTTACAATGCAGCTGTGAAACAAGTTAGAATCTTGTTTCTCTCATGAAGTCATGTATAAGACACATTCTTAATCCATTCAAGAAAACCAAGTCAAAAACAGAACTAGATAGACTTATGTTTAAAACTCAAAACATTCTAGCTATGTATCCAATCCTCATACAAAACACTGATTTTTAAAGAAAAGGAAGGAGGGAAGAAAGGACACTAGTAAATCATTAAGTATCTCCCCCATAAACTATTCAGGTCTCTATCTGTCCTTGATTTCCTGTCCTGCTGTCATATTACCTACTGAGTTTCTGAGTTTAGAAGGAAACTTACAGACATTTTTAGTAATTTAGTTTTAATTTATCTCCAGCTATTTATAAAATATACCACTTGGATAAATGTCTATTCTTATTGGCATGCTTAATAATTTAATATCACCGCTGTGGGCTAATTCAAAATAATTTCAAGTTATTGACATTCATCTCACTAGACAACATTAAATAAAAGCAACTGCTATAGGAAACACTACCAAAAATCTACTTGTGCATAGTATATGCCAAACCATACCAACTGTATTTTACTTAATGAATTATTATTTTTAGTATATTTTGATAAATGAAATTCTTTTTCACATCACAGT